TTATCTATTATAAAGTTCTCTCTCTCTCTCTCTCTCTCTCTCTCTTCATTGACTCACTGTCTGTTAGACTCGTTGTTTTGTGTCATATATTTTATGTGATTTTAATTGAGAGACGAAAATGTTTTGTGGAAATTAAAGCCTAAAAAACTTTTTTATACCGTATTTTTATTACACATTATAAAAAACCATATAACGTATGGACACAAACAAAACGGAACTGAATTTTTGCCAAAAATTTTTCATTCATTACTTTTATGTAGTAAACCATTCAATAAACAAAAAAATATAATATTAAATCAAAACAAAATTCTGTTTAAAATTCTTGTGTACCTTAAAATTAAGTCTTGATTTTTTTGTGAATAACTAGAAAAATTTAATATGCTCAAAAATACGATACAAAAACTTACCAATAACATTAACAACAAAATTATTTTAAGTACTGTAGTATCAAAATGTTTTCATTTAATTTAATTAAAAACCTTTTTGATAGGTATTTTACTGATTGTGTAATTTATACATACAGGATATTCTATACAATATTATAAAACTAATTAAATCTATATTTATATTAAGCAATTTACGTCAATTGTATAATACATTAATTCAATGATTATATTATTAGGAAAAGTCAAACTCGAGAGAGAGAGAGAGAGAGAGAGAACTTTATAATAGATAAAAAAGATTTATCAATAGATATCTTACAAATATATTCAGACATTTTATACATTTAGTCTCAAATTCTTAATATCAAAATAAATAAATATTTTATTCAATTCTTAAAAAATTATATAAATAAACTAATAGTTTATACCTAAATATAATAGACTGCATATACGGCACACCTTATTAAAAAATATTCGCATATCAAAGGTAAGTACGAAAAAAATATTTTTTGTGTGGTTTTTATGTTCACCACAAGAATAAGACATTTATTATTTTTTTGAGCCAATGTTTGCCCACAAAACGAACCGTCTCTTCCTTTTAATGCAAAACACACGACAAAATCGATGCAAAAAAAGCTAAAATAAAAATATAATAAAATGAAAAAATAAAATAAATTACATATATTTTTATTCATTCATACAATTCATTATAAATGTATCGCTTATGGCATCAATGAAAACGCGATTTTTAATTAAATTATATATTTCTGACACAAAACACAAGGCATAGGTATATTGGCAGTGGTGTCGGTGCCGTTCGCGCCCACCTCTTATGATCTTTATTGGTCGGCCAGTCCTCTCATAATAAAAGCCTTAATAAACTCTTAATAGTCAGGTGTGTAGTGTGTGTGTGCCATACGGCCGGTGCGATGATTTCCGGACAAATTACTAACAAATTAGTACTCAATTCAATGTTTTTTATGCACTTTAGGCATCTCATACCCAACTACCCATCCCCTGATCCAATCGAAACACTCCATCGATATTAGGCTATAATAAAAAAAATAAAATTAGCCATTAATTTGCTTATTATTTGGGAGGGGACGGGGAGGGAAAGTTGGTTTTTTGTTTCTAGTATATTAACACTGTTATTGATAAAATAATATATTTATTAAATATTATTAAATTATTAGAATTTTTAATTAATGATACTTGTAAAATTAAAAACTATTGTATACTAGTAAAACAATATTTGCATAAGTTTTGATCCCATTCCCTTATCATCCCTACCCCCGTTGCATATTATGAGACATTGTGTGTCCGTTTTGTTTGTCACTCTATAAAAGTAAAGCTAAATTAAATACTAAAAACTTTTTCACCACTGATAGGCGACACCTTTATGACTGAGTCGGACAACCCTAATGGCAATAGGCTGTCCACCATAGGACAGGTGTGTGCGGGGGAACTGACTGTCATCTATCATAAGACACACCAGAAGAGCATTATTTTTATTGAAAAAAATCACTTTTGTCTTAAAATTTATATAAAATTAGAAAACTTATTGACAAAAAAAGTTGTAACTTTTGTCATATAGTTTGGGACGAGTAGACACATCCCGTTCCCACTGCCTATTCATTTCCATTGATTGATCTGTTCGCTGGTTAAGACATTTATAACTAATTTATAACAAATGATTAGTTAATCGTAATAACTATTGTTTGATTGTCCAGACAATTGCAATTAAAATATTAAACACTTTTTAAAATACATTTGTGATAAACGCTAATTGTTTTCATTAATTAAAATAACAAAATCTGGTTTTGCTATTAAAACAAAAGTTTCAAAAACTTTAATTAATAGCCACAAGAAGTAATGCATAAAATGGAAATCCATTCGCCGGGACCTCAGATCCCTATAACAGTCCACCACCAGTCGCCTCCACCGCCACCCCCACCGCCCTTATCAGTGGGCAACAATCATCACATGCATCAGACGCTGACAATGTCGGGCTCGGGTCCAGGTATGGGTCTGGAGTCGCCCGACGGCATTGAGCACCGGGAGTGCTACAACTGTCACACCACATGCACTCCGCTATGGCGTCGGTTCGGCGCCGACCAGTTCCTGTGCAACGCGTGCGGACTCTACCAACGAGTGAACGGCGCCCACCGGCCACTGGTCCGCAACGTGCGCCGCCTGTCGAGCACCAGTCGCCGGGTGGGCCTGACGTGTGCCAACTGTGGCACCAAAACCACGTCTATGTGGCGCCGGAACGCCGTCGGGGACTCCGTTTGCAACGCGTGTGGGCTATACTATCGGCTCAATGGCGTCAATAGGCCGGCGGCGATGCGCAAGGAGTCCATCCGTACCCGTAGGCGACGCACTATTAAGTTGCTGCCCACCCCTCCGTTCGGACACTACGGACAGGCGCCGCCTACTAATGGAGTGGTTATGGGACAGATGGGTGATCCCGATGATGGAGGTAGACCCGGGTCACCCGGTCAGCGACAACTGGTATATCAGGGACCGTACCATACGCTGCCGACGTGTAAGTATTTTTAGGCCTCTCTCTCTCTCTCTCTCTCTCACTCACTCACTCATAAAAATGTCTCAAATCTCTGTCACAATCACAGCGACTGACGGCCCGATCGACGCCTCCCTATACACGACCCCATCGTACCGACAGTTTGCGGAATCTCTGCGCAGCTATTATCACAGCCATCACCACAATCACCACCATCTCAGTGGTCACCACCACTCGGAACACGCCTACCATCCCTCTCACAGTCACTCCAACTACGCCTCTGGTGGAGGCGCCAGTGGTGGCCGATACGCCCCCATCAACGCCTACAACGGCCAATACTACAACCCTCCGTCGGGTGTCTCACCAATGGACGGACCCCCGCCTCCACCACTCATACCCTTCACGGCCGCCCAGCGCTATGTCGTCAACGCGTGCGGTGACGGAGCCATCGGCGGAGGGGTCGACGCTCAAGAGGGCGGCCCAATGGGCGCCCATCAGGACGAGTGCCAAAAGTATGCGCCCACCCATCACCCCATCGCCCACCATATTATGATGAACTCGGGTGCCGGCGGTGCCCTCAACGGCAGCGACGCCTCCCAAAGTCCGCCCAAATCGGGCGCCGGAGGTTCGCCCTCATCGTCGCCCGACATCATGAACGGCGGTCAGTCGTCGCCCACCGGAGGTGTCATTAATCGCCACCACTGGTGGTAGGGTTGGCCCACAGGGTAGGGTAGTGTAGGCTAGCGTGTGTTTAGGGTGGGGGTGCGGGGTATGGGGTCTAGTAATTATTGGCACTATATTTATGGCTTAATAATATTTTTTCTATTGCACTGTAAAAACCAGAATATATTTTGCGCTAATATATGGTTAATATTATTATTACGACAAATTTTTTTATATGAATTTATTATTAAAATATTAGCAGAAATTAAGTTAAAACACAAAATATAGTTAACGATGAGTTAAGTTATGATAAGATATGACAATATATTTTATGGCACTCTCTTAACTGACGATTAGAAATGCGTTAAAAACCTCAATAATCATAAATAAATACAAATAGTTTGTAGCATTTATTAAGTTATTAATCCTATATTAAGTCTATAATGAGTGTCAAAACAGTTTACAACACTTATTAATCAATCAATAAATATTTCATATCATGAATAAAAAACTTAAATTCTTTGAATACATGTATTTCATTGAAGAATAATAATTGAATTCTTTCTAAAATAAAGTTTTGTCAGATTTATCGGACCAGGTATTATAAATAACAATACTTAACAAGTTCAATTCTATAATTATTATTAGGATCACAATTAATGTGGATCTTATAACTTAATAATAGCTAAATCTAGTGTCTGGAAGTTTCTAACAGTTATAATTACAAACAGGAAATATAATTTGCTAAACAAATATATTTTATTTTGTACGAGTAATTAACCTTAAATGCTATCCAGTACAAAATAAATGTACTAAAATTAAAGGGTTTAAAAATATTATTAATTCCAGTTGAAATACAATTGAATTGAAATTGCTAACCAAAAGGCAAAATTAAATATCAAACAATTTTCAAGTTAAATAAATTTTAATGTGTAAAACATATGGAAAACACTGTGCGGACCGATTCGGTGATGATTCGTGACAACAATTATTGTCTTATCTATCACTCGAAAACCGATTCAGATGTCTGTCCAAACAGTGGCACCCATTGGTATTCACGACTTGTATATTCAAAACATGTTATTGAGATTAATTTAGAGCTGATTGTCGATCATTAACAACTGTTCATGGCTAAATCAATTACTGTATATCTATCATCAAAATATTTACAATAGTTTAAAAACTGGGCACAAATTTTGTATTATTTTTATTATAGGCAAGTATTACATCAAATATTGTTGATAGAGATTCCAATGAAGTTTAATTTTATTTGATTTTAGTTGTACTATGATTTCATTGATGAAATGTATGAACTTTCATAAATATTATCAAAAATAGCATTAATTTCAAAAAATTGTTTTATAAATCAAATGAATTTTGGAATATTCCGGACGTAAACTTCCGATAGACTGAAAAATAAATGTTCATATTTTTACCCATCAGGTTAAAGTACAGTAAGTTATAATATGGTAATTGAGTATTTTGAACATTTATTCAGTAATTGAATAAAATAATCACGTTTTAATAAAAAGTTTCAAATTTTAAAATAGTGTACCTGAGAACTTAAACTGAAAACACATATCAATATCAATATTAGACTGACAATTTGATTTGAACCAATACTTTTTGCTTGTTTTTATCAAAATCAGATTAAATTTATAATCTATCGACATATTAGCAGTATGGATTACCAAGTTTAAAATGCAGTAGTATAAAATTACAGTATTTTCGCAATTTGTTTTAAGTGCTTTGTATTGAGTTTTAGTTAAATAAAGTGTTTGACATAGCTATTTTCATAAATAATTTAATTAGCATTCTAAATATTAATTCAAAATTTATAACACATTTGTTTATAAAGTATAACTTATATTTCCATAACAATCTTAAATACTGTATGTTAAACAAAATTTGTGGTTATTTGAGCTAATTTTTCAGGCTCATTGTATTGTATTATAATTGTTATAATTGGCATTTTATCAAATGCCCAGGCAAATTGCTTTATTGTATTTAATCCTAGACAAGTCTCCCTCCGTAATACAATATAACTAATGTATATAAGCATTATTAGTAATTGAATTATTTGCATATAAAATTTAAAATATGTGCTATTAATTATGAATAACTCAAAAATATTTTAAAATGCTGATTTTTTTTAAATAGGATAAATGTTTGTACAAAATAAGGACTTTCCTTGTTCAAAGTTCTTCTTAAGACACGTAACTCACGTACAAAAGAGTGTTAAGTAAGTTAAGTGTGGTATTCCGGCTGTAACCGAAACTAATAGTCCGTTAAATAACGTATTTTATTATTTTTGCGAAAAATAAACTACAAGTTTTTTATATCCCGTATAGATTATACATTTCATTGGGTATATGGAGATATTCATCAGGAATCGGGTGACACAAGTGACACACCATCTAATGTGAACCATTCAAACGTAAGGTAAAGTTTCCGTTGAAAAAAGTTTTGTAAACAGAATTAAGAATACATTTCTTAGTAATAGTTTTATAAGTTTACCCAAAAAATCAATAATATTACGATATTTGCCAGCAATGTCATGAAATTCATTATAAATATATCACATTTTATTGCAATTTAATACAACATTTTTAAAAGAAATGCTAGTAGATAACTACAGTATTATATTTATAATTAATTATTTACCATGATAAATTATTGTGTTATTTTTAAATTTATAATTTATTATACTATATTTTACAGATAGCGTATTATTACCACCTTGATACTTAGAAATACAGAACTTATGTTATACATCTAGCGGAACTATAACGGAACTATGTTAAGGATAAATTATAACGGACGTATATGCTATAATATTATAGATTTGTATAAAAATTTTAATCAGAAATTACTTTTGACAGATTACTAATTAATATAATAAATTTTTTAGAAATATTTATATTTAACAATATTTATAACAACCCCCTGATTATAAAAAAAACCACCATGGCACTGCACCTCAAGTATTTTGCAACCCTAATTGTCTAGTCAATTAAATTTACACATCAGACAAATTCATCAATTATCAATTTAATATTTCACAAAAAATTGTTTTCGTAGGCAATTAAATGCAAATATAATGTATAATCAGATTGTTTGCGATCAAAATCTCCTGATCTAGTGTCTGGGCTTTCGAAGGCCTAAAAATGCTTACTATTTAATCGGCATTTCAAACAAAATACCGAAAAAATGTATTTCAAAAGTTTTTTAATCAAAAAAAGTTTCGATTTAAAACTACAAAACCGACAATTTCTCTCTCTCTCTCCCTCTCTCTCTCTCTCTCTCTCGACATTATTTTCGCAATTCAGGAAATGTATGCATAAAATCAATGTTATTATCACCAAAAAAAATAATACAGTAATACAAAACCAATATATAATTACACGCTTTCCTAAAGTCGCCTATTATTACGTGAATTGAGAAAAAATTGTTTATAAAGTATAGGAATAATCAATCAGAAAAAATAAATGAATTTTAAATTCTCTTATAATTATTCTGTTTATTACTATATCTGTAAATCTTGTGATTTTGTGCGAAAAACAAACAAAACTTTTATTTCGAAAGTCTATTCACGAAAAAAAAGTTTTTGTAAATATTTGGCGTCAATAGTAATGAGACGATAATAACGTTATATAGTAGTAGTAATAGTCTGGTGACGGGAGGCTTACGGTGGTGGGGGTGGGGCTATACACACATACTGTTTGTACAAACATTACATATACTAACGGTGCGGACAAAGTTCTAGTATGAGTTCGGTGTGTAAACTATATGTACTGTACATTCTGTGAGTGCATACCAGTGCACTGAATACTTATACAGAATAGGTCTTTCCCCAGTGGTTTGCAATAAGTTTACAAACTATAAGTGGTGTGACGTCTAATGAACTAATACTGTAATATTAATAGTCTATTGTCAGGTAAACACGTAACTCGTATACAATGTTACGTAAAGCAAGTTTAATAATACTTTGAGGCCCTTTTAAATGTCTGTCCAGCGATACCATGCATTATAAACAGGTATTCTGCAGGTAACATTTACATAGCTACATATATTGCGTAATATTTGCCATAAACAACCTGGAATATAACACCATTCACTATAGAATAAACATAGTATGTCCTTAACATGTGTAATCAGCTTATATATACATTGTTATTCATTATTCATTTCATACAAAAACATATTTACTACCAGAATATTCTATAAATAACTACATTATTCATACACTGACTGCAATGCCCCCTTACCACACCCATGTAAACGTAACGCCATACGCGAATGGGCCTCATAGCAAAAGGTTGTTGTTTGCGATACAATGTTCAGGGAAAAACGCTAACGATTTCTAGAGTTGGGAAAAAAGTTTCACTTTTTTACACTACAAACAAGTTTTTTCTCAATACACGTATGACATATGCATAGACAGTGGCCCGGCTTAGACAGTGCACTGCACACCAGCCCTACGTAATTGTATGGTATGTTAGGGGGGAAGGCATGAGAATGGGTGGTGACGTAGCGCTGGTGTGACACGAGGTACAGGTGCTGTGCGCCGGCGCTAATGACTCAACCGATCGTACGATCGGTCTATGAGTGCTGTGAATGGATGTTATGAATAGTGGACTCGTTTACTACACATTCATATATAAGCCGTACGTTAAGCCCTACGCGAGAGATAAGGCAATTAAAAAAAGGACATATTATTCATACAGTGAGAGACATAGCGTAGCGATTGTGTGTCTCTAATCAATTGAAAGTCACACCAAATATAATATTTATACATATATTTTGTCGCTGATTATCGCTGTATTTGTGTTGTCCGTACAGATTGTGTGTAAACATATTTAAACGTGTAATAAGTGTTTGGATTTAAGGTATTAAACGCGAAAAAGTTGCGGAAATATTTGAAATATTTTTCAACACCACTCGCATAGTGTATGCTATGATAATGTGCGGCCAGACATGTGGTGACCAATGCTGACCAAAATGCTGATCAGGACTCATATTAAGCTCAAAAATCTTTTATTATTATA